TTTAGAGACTAAGGGAACTTCCCCATGTTCATGTATACTTCCTCTTCCATTTACCATCATCTCCTTGCCTGAGCTCTTTCCCCAGGGTTTTTTTCATTCTCAGTGTAACTTTTCTCTACTCTCCACCTTTTCAATGAACTCCCTTACACTTTTTCTTTACTATTTACATCAAACACAGACCCTCTTACCTTCCCCATTACTCACTACCAATCTTGTACATATATAGGAAGCCTGTCCAGACCTCATTGCAGTCTGGAGGAGTTTATATTGGTAATCCCATGGAAAAGTTATTGGAATTCCAGTAAGTAAATTCCAATCAACCACTTCCAGTGCAACCCATGGCAAAAATAAAGAGATAAAGACATATCTACAGTTGTGGGGAGCCAAGGAGGATCCTAAGTCCAGTCCAAAAAATGGCTAACTGGAACAAAGGCCATGACCTAGGGCCAAACTTGGGTTTTACTAATTTGTGAAGAGGGGATTGGCTCGGGGTTGAATGACTGTGAGAATGGCAGGAAGTACAGGAATACAGTAAACTGGGCTAGATTAGAGGCACAATAGCATCTCTGCAATATGCAGAGGTATGCAGAAGGAGTCCCTGATTCTGGTAACAGGCAGCCTTTAAGTTTGAGGCAATCTGCATAACACAGTTTGAGGAAGTATCTTGTGTTTTGGGTCAGCTGCTTCAGCTCTGATGTCTAACTTTTCTTGCCCGGAGACATCACCACCTCTTTCGCGATGATCAATCCCAGCCAACAACACAGCTCAGCATCTCTTGGCCGAGCTCACTCTTAGTAGTAGGGAGCTATAGGTTTGGCGTCACTGACCTATCGCATTGCTTCAAAGGCTACAGATCAGAACCTCGGTAGACCCATTTGCATGGCTTAAAGCCAGCTGAGGGGGCAGAGCATTTTCCAGGTCAGCTCTGTACATAGCAACACACAGAAGGAGGGCAAGGGTGAGCCAAAATGGAGACAAATCGTCTTCTCTGGGGGAGCCATCCCAATGGTCTTCCCCATGCATAGTCCTCCCTGGTATCCCTTTCTAAATTTACAACATATCCTTAACATTAGTAGGACCCTTTGCCCCTCTTCTAGTTCCTCCTTCCAATACCATAGAGCAGAGGACTTAGAAGAAAAACAATTTTTTCCTTTATAGCTCTATTTCTCTTTTCTCCCTTTTCACTTTAACCCTGGACTTTGGATGGTATTCTATAAAACTACTGTTGAATGTTGTATTTTACCAGTAGAAGAGACAAAGCCAAGGCATTTGGTATACATTAACTGTGGGTCAAGGCTTGGGTTGTTACAATGCTTACACTATAGCTGTAGATTTCTTCTCTAGGCTAAAGGGAGACTCAACAGGATCTTATGCTATGAAAGTTTCTCAACTAGCCCTGATAGATTCCACTGCAACAGATTCACCTGTTACTGCTATAGTTTAATTGATTTCACGTGAATAATCCAGACTCAGAACAACTGAATGGCAGTGAAATCATCTGCTGAGCCCATCACTGAACCCAGGGAGAAGAACAGCAAGAGTTCCTAACCCAAGAACTCAGGTTCAATCAGACTCAGCAAGAATGCCTGCAGCCTACCAGAAATAGTCCCCGAGTCTGAGTTAACCCTAATTTTGCAACAGAGTAACCATTAGAGTAATTGGGGTATGATCACTTAGACTCTCTGACAAAAAAGTGACTTGGGAATCACATTAGCAATGGCTCATTGGAATATCTAATCAATGTTCCCAGTGGACATTTTATTGGTTTATGTTTTTGTATGATTCTTGGGTTATTTAGTATCTCCTTTTATTATTTCATGTGTATTTTGGGTTATTACTCTTGTAGAATTGTGCTCTCATTGGCTCAGACTGCATAGATGTCTAGGTTCTCTCCCTCACCTAAAGAACAAAGAAGGGGAAAAGTAACTGCAGGGACTATCATACAGAAATGGAGTAAGACTGAAACTGTGGATAGAGACAGAGACAAAATCACCTAAAGTAAACAAATGAAGTAGCAGATGCTAGAACTAGATACACAAAGCTGAAAATTAGTCACCAGAAGGCAATACCCTACTAAAAAGCTTCATGTAACCACATACTTACCTCACTTCTCTAGTCCCCAACTAGCAGTAACTCCCCTTCCTCACAGGAAAAGTGGAGGAGAAAAAGAGAAGGACTCATATAATTAAAAAATATAAATGTAAACAAATAAATACAGTTACAAATAGAAGAATGGGGAAAAAAGGAAAAAGAAGATCTCCTATCTCCCCCCCCCCCGCCACTCTCCTAAGGCAGAGCATGGGGACATATAGGCAGAAGAAAACAAATACCAAATAGCAGAAGTCTATGAAAAGTTCTTAAAAGGGGTGAAGAAAATAGAAGTATTCAAGGAGAAAATGAACGAAATATTTACAGCAATAACACTCAATATGCCCATGGTCAATTTCAGGGAAATAGGTAAAAAATTGGATGAGCTAACCAAGACAGTTCAAAACTTGAACAACAGGTTCAAGGAAGATATGAAATCCTCCAAATGATGTCAGATAGAAATACATGAAATAAAAAAAAAAACCAGTATAGAATTCATACAGAAATGATGAATGTGAAGACAGTGTCTGATACTGAGGACAAAATAGTGGATTACAATAAAGAGCTCAAAGAAGCAAAAAAGAAAATGAGACCAAGAGAAACTCATCCAGCAGTTACTAGATGACAACAAAAAGATTAATCTAAGGCTAATCAGAGTTAGTGAAAAAGCTTGAGGTTTACACAAGTGGATTCACCAACAGAAAGAAGAGCAATCATTAGGAAATCAAACAATAACAAGTGCTGGTGTGGCTGTGGTGAAAAAGAAACTCTCCTACGTTGTTGGTTGCAATGCAAACTAGTAGAACTATCATGGAAATCAGTATGGAGATGTGTCAAAGAATTAAAACTATAAATTCCATATGACCTAGCTATCCCCCTGCTAGGTATCTTCCCAAAAGACTTAGTCATCATACTACAGCAATACTTGCATATCATTGTTTATAGCAGCACAATTGATAATAGCTCAGTCCTAGAAACAGCCCTATACCTATCAACAGATGATTAGATAAACAAAATGTGGTATCTTATACTCCAGGCTTTTACAGGTAAATGGATACAACTAGAGACCATGTTCATAAGTGAAATAAATCAGACCTGCATATGTAAACATCTTATTGCCTCCCTAGTGTAAGAACCTGAAAAAGTAAATGAAATCTGAAAGGTACAATAGATACTGTGAAAGGGAAAGAAACTGCTCAAAAGGAAAGAACAATTGGGATGAGGGAAAGGAGAAAAGAAAGAAGGAAGGGAAAAATATATATACACAAGATATGCTGATTTCTACTGGTCTATTGAAAAGAACAGTTAATGCCTAAATTTTTTTTCTTCTTTTTAATTTTTTTGACAGTTTTGCATGCTTATATCTGATAACCTAAACAACTAATTTGAAGACAACAATATGCAATGTAACAACCACTTTTGAATTCCTATCACCTTGTTTAGGAAATTCTGTATTGTTTCTAATTTTTTAATTATTTTTTCTCTTTAAAATAATAAAATTTTTAAAATGTGGTATCTATATATAAATGAATATTACTTGGTATAAAGAAAGATAAATTTGAGACATTTGTCAGAAAATGGATGCATCTGGAAAACATAATGTTGAGTAAAATAAATCAGACATGCAAGCTTGAATACCATGCGGTACCCCTCATTTGAGTGAGGCAAAGTACAAAGGAAAAGATAAAAGATGGATAGAAAGGGACAAGGAGACAGATCTCATCCAATAGGGAGAGTTCAAGGGAACAAGAAGAGGGGTAAGGGAGAGGGGAAGGAGAAATGAGAGAAATAAAGATATGCCAAGTACAGGAACCTAGTAGTCCTAATCAGTGTAAAAATTATAAGCCATAACATGTGCTAAAACAAGTAATATCAACAGGTATGAAAAAGGTGATGGGGAACCAGAGGAGGAGTGGGGATGGGGAAGGAAAAAGATTTTAAAAAACAAGCTTGTAATATGTACATGTAATCACTCCCCAAGATGATTGTGAACTGTACAAATTACAAATAATTAAAACTAATAAACTTTTAAAAACAGAGCAAAACCCCCAGGATTAAATCTGTAAAATCACCACATGCTTATCTGTGGCTAACTACTGTAATGCTTATCTGTGGCTAACTGTAGGGAGCAGCTAAAGCTGGAAATTGGTCACATGTGTGGGGGCGAGGCAAGAGGGTCAGAGAACAAAGAGTATCTGAGGCAAGCCATTAGTTGTTGCTAGGCAAGGCTGTGTCACGTGACTCTCACTTCGTCAAATGTATAAATAAACGCCCCTATGGGAGTTGAGCAATTTCCTTTCCTCCCATTCGGGAGAGAGGGGGCTCTCTACCTGACCTCAGCTTTTGTCTCTATTTTTCCCATTCTCTGGCTGTCCTTCCCCTTGACCCGCAACATGGAGAGCTGCGTGGGAAGCAACAGCTAACGACTATAATAATCAGCACATGCTTATCATCAACCATATGCTTGAAAAGATGTACCCTATTGTAACCTTCATGAAATTGTTACACTGACTGCATGCTTAAGAAATCCCCAACTGACCTTGTCCCTTTCCCAGAAACAAAGGCTAAAACTGGCCAATCAGTGAAATAGTTATTTTTAGAAACCAGTGTAACCCTGTAAGTATAAAATTCACCTCAAATTCACTAGGCATCCTGAGTGGGATGCCTGGTATCTTGCAGCTCACTCTGCTATTAAGATAGCTCTTCTGCATTTTGCCCCACTTTAGTAATCTTTCCCTTCACACTGTACCAGTCTGGCCTCCCCCATGCTCTCCTAAGCTCCACTTCTTCACTCTTTGCAGAGGACAAGGACCTGGAAAGACACGAGGGGTCATTATGGCACTGCTAGGCTGCTCTCCTCAGAGACGCCCCCCACCCCCAGCCCTGAAGGCAGAGCTCCCAGACTGGGTGGTGCCTCCCACGGCTCAGATGTTTCGGGGTAGCAGAACTGCCTTAAGGAGTGTGGGAAGACCTCTCTGCTACAGGTGTTGCTCTCATGTCGGCTCCGATCCTGGTCTCGAGGAATATTTACTTTCCTTCTATTTCTTTTTTATTTGCAAAAGTTGCTCCTGGTCTTCTTGGGCCCAGATATCCTGAGAAGAGCCCAACATAGCTGTACAATACAAAGCTTTATTGGAGCTCCAAGTAAGCTCTCCGAGGGAAAGTTGCTTCCTATGTGGCTCTAAAGAAGAGGCCATCATCATTAACACAAACGACACCTTAAACAACAACTGCAAATTCTAAGAACTTAGGTAAGACCTTTGAATACGTCCAGGTTAATTTACTATTCCAAGGTAAATACATGGACTTTGGGAGCAAAGACTTGAAGACTAAGGAAAAGGTCACGTTGTTTCAGGACTTTAACAAGACTTGGTAGGAACCATTTCTAAATGGTCCTAAAATAAATCAGTCCTAAAATAAAAAACAATTAAGTGGGATAAAGAAAAGGTAGGTTTATAAGGTTAGGATATTCTGATTAATTGCTTTTTAAAATTTTCTAAATATCCTATATCTGGTGGAAACAAATCATAAAACCATAAAAGCGGAGTCATATAATTTTCTTCCTGCAGGACTAAATCTAGCTTATTTATGAAATGGAGGGCTGCGGAGTTCTGGGAAGGTCTCGAGTCTTCCCTGAAGCTCAGGACAGTGTTGTGGCCGGCGGCGCAGGGTGGAGTGGACCCTAAGGACTCGCGGCCGGCTCAGCGAAAAGGCCTGGGCCGCCCGGCCGGGCTGCACTTGCTCTCTGAGGCGCCGGGAGCACCCGGAACACGAGCAGCAGCCCGCACTCCAAGACCAGGAGCACGAACCTTCCGACCCCGGAACCCAAGGGAGACACACAGCGGCCGGAAGTAGGTCGGAACTTAGGGCTACAGCACCGCCTCACGCACTTCCGGGCCGACTTGGGGCAGTTAGCGGCTGGTAGCTGGGTGGTTCCTCAGTGTGCACCCTAAGGAGGACTGAGTGGTAGAGAGAGCCACTAAGTCTCTGTTTCTTCTCCGTAAACCTGGAGGTCTCCCCACGGGCCCCGCCCCAACGAGCCATCCGGGCCTTCTTGGCCCTCCTGACCATAGGAACAACCCATTCTCCACTCCGCTGTCCATCCGGGTTCTGTATCCGAAGCTGCGGCGCCCTTCCTCCTGGCGGAGTGGCCTCTCTACAATGCCCAGGGCGGACCTCCTGCTTCTCCTGCAGGCTCTGTGTGCTGAGGAGGTGCTTCTGCATCTGGAAGGAACATTAAAGCCAGTACTCTTCATAGATAAAACCAGTGATAACCAGTTACATGATATAATGAATGAAAAGACCCTATCTACAACAGCAGGAGGGCAAGGGGATGAACACTGTGGAGAGCGGCTAAAGCCGGAGGAGATCGATCACATGTGTGAGGCAAGCCCGGAAAACAAGCTGTTCCAGCTCCTAGAAAGCTAGGTGCTCAGGCACGCCATACAAAGCTAGACAAAGGGGTTGAAATTGACATCAACCTCCTGGAGTATATTTATTTATAGTAAATGGCCTATGGTGGTTGAGCAGTTCCTTTTCTCCCAGCCTGTGATAGGGCTCCAATTGAATTCAGCTTTTGGTCTCTTATTTTTATTTGTCCATCGCCTGGCCATCCTTCCCTGTGGGAACTTCGAGGGCCATGCAAAACATAAGAAATGTGCAACATTTATTTATGGAGAAATGTTAAAAACATTCCTGATAGCTCAAGTGTAAATTTCAAGAGGAAGCAATATGTTACTCTTGGATAAAAAGACTCAACAGAGGTCGTCCCTTCCTAAATATGCATTCAAGTGTATTATAACAATAACAACACATATTGTTCGAAAAGTATGGACAAACTGATTATGAAGCTCAAATGGGAAAATAAGCCAGGAAACCCCTTAAAAAGAAAAGTGATGAACAGCCTTATCAAACACCAGAACACATTGCAGTACCATACCATATCATATAGCATGAACAACCAGTTATCTAGAATAGACTCAAGGATGAATGGGTCTTTAGTAAATGATGAAAATGATAAAGCAATGGAAGAAATTAAGGATGTAGGAAGTTGTACTGGGTCAACCGATAACTATTTGGTCAAAGGTAAAATTGAATTCCTATCTCCTACCACATATGCAGGATAAATTCCAAGTACACCTGATTCCTAAACAAACAAAAAACAACAACTGCACATATACATGTGTTAGAAGAAAATATGAGAAAACAATTCTAACACCTGGGAATGGGGTAACACATAACCATGAGTCAAAATTCAAAATCAATAAAAATGATGTCTGGTTACAAAAAACTGTATTTTCAAAAAGTCATAAAGACAGTCAAAAGACAAGTGACACTGAAAAAATGTTTGCAGCATATCGAAGACAAGGGCTAGTAGCTGTGATGTTTTAAAAGTTCCTCAAAGTTGGGATGAAATTAACCATTTCACATAGGGTAGCAGTGATCTAGAAGTTTGATCTTATTATTTTTTGGTTTTTTTCCGATACCGGGAATTGAACTCACAACCTCACGCTTGCCAGGCTGGCGCTGTGCCACTGAGCTAAATCCCCAGCCCCCCTGATCTTATTTTTGAGGAAAGGGAAACTCATGCATTCCTAATGGGAATGCAAAATAGTAATCCTCTGTGTAGGTAGGTAATATACAGCAAGTTCACTCACGTAAATTTACCATTGTTTCCTATAAGACCACTTCAGAAATCTGTCTTAAAGATTTATTAACCAAAATATGCAATGACTGAGGGCTGGGGATTTAGCTCAGCGGCACAGCGCTTGCCTGGCAAGCATGATGTCGTGAGTTCGATTCCCAGTACCGGGGGACGGGTCGGGGGGGACATTCAAGCTAAAGATTGGAAACAAATGTTTACCATAAGGCAACAGATTGAATACAGTATCATATAGCTATCTGTGGAGAATGGCTGAAGCTGGAGATCACACCTTTGAGGCTGGAGCAAGACCCACTGGACAACAAAGAGCACCTGAGGTGAAGTAAGTGAACAAGCTGCTCCAGTCCAGAGAACACCAAGTGCCTGAGGCAATCAAAGTAAGTAAGTGGCTAGGTAGAGTGATTTATGTGACATCAAACTGCCAAATGTATAAATGTGCTGTGGTGGTTGAGCAGTTCCTTTTCTCCTATCAGGAGAAGGCGCCACCTGATCACAGCTTTCTGTATATAGACTCTTATCTTTATTTCTCAATCCCCCACTGTCCTTCCCTTAAGGAACTTTAAGAACTGTACTGCACATGGCCACTAATAGAGAACTAGGTAAACTATAAAGATAATTGAGAACTATCTCAATATTAGTAACTAATTATTAGAACTATCCCAGCATAGGGTTATGGAATGATTGACACATGTTTATATTATTGTCAGGCCTGGCCTGAGAGTGACCTGAGAGAGAACTTCATGACTGCCTACTACAAAAACCAGGGATCCCACTATTCACAATGGCCCGCCCTCTGCAAAGAAGAAGGACCATAAAGACATATAGAACAGAGGGGCTGGGGATTTAGCTCAGCGGCAAAGCGCCTGCCTTGCAAGCGCAAGGTCGTGAGTTCGGTTCCCGGTACCGGAGAAAAACCAGGGGAAAAAAAAAAAAAAAAAGACATATAGAACAGGACCTGAAGTTTCCCTTGTGCCAGTTCTATCTACACACCTGTGCTGACTGTCCATGTAGCTTTGACTTCAAACACTTCATCTGGATTCTTTAAAGCAGCGACCCCAACCCTAAACCATGTGTACTCAGACTCCCCTCCGGATAGCAGCTGCTGTCACTCCAGTGTCAGCCTGCCTGTACGTAGATGATATAAAATCTGATTTTTCCCACAGCCTCAGTCTCTGGGTGTTTCCTCACGCCACCATTACCTAACAATTATATTACCTGTCCTAGGCAGAATACCTCCCAAAGATAAACATACCTAAACCTCAAAAGCTGTGAATATATTATTTTGCATGGCAAGAGGATTATTAGCTTATTATTATCATCTTGATTAGCTCTCCTAGCTCTTTGAGTTTTATAGTCACTGATCATTTTATTTGGCCATCTGTTGACTTATATTTCCTGTGAGCTTGCAAAGTGCCTTACTGATCTGTTTTGTTCTCTCTTATATTTTCAAATAACTTGGTTGTGTGGCTTTTGGTTTCCTCCTCTTTAACGCATGGAGTAGCTTTGGGTGGGGGAGTTTTGGGTGCATTTTGTTGCTTTGTCTTGTTTCTATTTTTTGTTTGTTTTGCTTTAAGGTTTGCAGGTTGATTATACTGGCAAGCTTTTTTTTTTTTTTTTACTAATATGGACATCTCTTTAGTTAATGTCTACTTTTCAGCAGTGCCTTCTGGATGTGGGTAACTACTGCTCTTTGCCTCTGCCCCAGTCACAGGAAGGAACAAGAAAAAACAGGATACAGAAAATGAAAGGTAAGGCAGAGAGACAGAAAGTTGCAAAGGGTAAAGATAATGATAGAAAAGAAATTAGAAAGAAAAAAAAGACTGAAAATAGTAATTTAAAAACCTCAACATCCACTAAAACTAATGAAGGAAGGACAAAAATAATTAAAAATAGAAAAAAAATTTTAAAATAGAGAAATTTAAAGATGACTGAGTCAGTGACAAAGTTCTGGTTTTGAATCAGTGGTTTCTTTCCAGGATATTCAGTGATAGAATTCAACCAGTCATGAATTTCTCAGCTAGCTTTGTAGCCCAGGAGTTTTTGAGGTGACTTCCCTGCATCAGAGGCCCCTCTCTGCACTCATTTCACACTGTGGTTTCCACCCAAGCCATATCCTTGCTTGTATTGGTCAGTGAGATCGGCCTTGTTTTCTTTTGGATGTAGTTCACAGGGCAGGACTTCAGGTGGACTGTTGGGACTTGACATTGACATTCACAGGGTCTGCTTGCTGCCTGCACAGGTCAGGGCCTGCGTCCCTCCTTACACTTCTCGTGGGGCCTGTGTCTAGCCCATCCCTCCTCCACAGGGGCCTCCTACGGCTGTCTCTCACCCAATCACTCTGGGAGCGTAACAGTGGAGTCCCTGAAGCTGCTGACCAGGTTGTACTTTCTCCCTGGTTCTGCTGGTCTTCCAGGTTTACCTTTTCTCTCCAGGTGTTGTCTTTGTCCAGCATCAGGTTCATCAGTCAATCGATGCCTCTGCTGCCCTGTGCCGAAGTGAAGCAAAACACAGACCCAGTCTGCAGGCGGTGAATGGTTGCACTGTGGGTGGTGCAGGGAGTCTGCTTGTTTCAGGGTGCTGCGAGGACACGGCGGCCTGCTTGCTGGCATCAGGGGCTCCAAGAGGGCCGATGCCTTAGTTTTTGTAAATTAACATTCTATTCTTTGTCTTCTGTCTCCTTAGTTGAAAGAATATGCCCAGGTTAAAACTGCATTTCAAACAAATCACTCAGTTCATTCTATGGCAGGAGTACATGGAAAATTATAGCTTTCATCACTGTATGGAAAAATGCGGGTGGATCCAAAGTACGGTCTGTGTACTTCTGATTCCTTTTGGGAAAAGTACTAAGCAGGAGTAAAGGGCAATGATCCTACCTCACTGCCTAAGACAGCAGCCTCTATGACACTCAAACCAACTGAGAGATTTCTACTAAGTACTGAAAGGATAGCACACTCATTCTCTGCTTCTACATCTACTTATATTGTTCCTTCTCTTTGGTTGCCAGTTGTTGGCTTAATAGATTTTTGGTATCCAATTTTGTCTTCTAATTCTTTGTATGTTCACATTTTGTTCTCAGATGCTTAAAACTGTCTCAAGGATCCAAGTCTAAATGTCTACGAAACTGCATACATTTCACAATGCTCTTTGTAGCTGGTTCTAAATTTTTTTATGTGAAAAGAAATAAAAGATCACTACAAATCCTTAAGTAATTTGTGCTTTACTTTTCTTAGGTGTGAAATGGATTAAATTACCAAAAAAAAAAAAAAAATCTCTTTTTAAAGCTAATATTCTCTTACCGAACAAAGATTAAACTCATGGCTAAAGCGCTGGCCCTCTACCATTTCTGTACATCCTTGCAGAAGCTCTACAATCCAGCCAGGAAAGGAAATTCCTGGTTCCTGGGCTGATCTTGGATGAGGAAGGCTTCACACCAAGCCCTCTGCCAGAACAGTTCTCTCTCCTTCTGCAGATTTTCCCTTTCCCTCAACTCTCTGCCCAACATTTAATCAGTAACATTAAGCACAGTGGTATATATATTTAAAAATACCTCCAAAGGAAATATTTCCTATTTTATATAACATTTTGACTTGATATATATTATAAAATCTCCTCAGAGATGATTTTTGTCTTTTTGGAAACATATAAAAGAATCTTCCCAGGCCGGGGATATAGCTCAGTGGCACATGCGCCTGCTTGGCAAGTGTGAGGTTGTGAGTCTGATTCCTGGTACCAAAAAAGCAAGGAAAAAGAAAAAAAAAAAAATCTTCCCCTATAAATTATATGTGTAAAAGGAAAAATATCACCACATATAGAAAATAGAGACTTGATACTCCTGAAGTTCTGACCTTAAATCAAAATCATAGTGAAAGAGTGTTGAAGGCATTAAGTAGGTTTTGGCTGCAAGATTCTCAGTGAGTTCTTGACATATATATTCACTCCAAACAGTGTTCAGAGGGGTATTAGATTATCCACAAGAACCAATGAATATATTTAAATGGATTTCAACCAATACTTGCTATACCTGGCTTAGCCACAGAACTTTGACCACTCTGCTCTTTCTGACTGGAAAGTTGGTGGGGGAGGGAGACAGATACTGATCCAGGGAAATACCGACAGCACAGCAAGAGTAGAGGCTTCAGGGGTTGAATCAAAGGAGCAAGGATGGGAAAAGGAGAAGAGAGAAGTGAGGGAAATTCAGAAATGTGAAAGAGAAACGACGAACAACTTTTAGCCAGGGAGAAATGAAATAATCACAGAAACAACAGGTTCTAAAGGCCACTGTCTATCCATTAAGTCCAATATTACTTCTCACACCTAATGAGGAATGTGTATCCTAGATAAAATAATTAGCACAATTAGTATAAGAAATCGAAGGAAGCTATTTTGGTAAACTGTCAAGTCATTTTAATCATGTTACATATCAATGTATTCTAAATGGTACATCTGTCTCTACATATATAACACTTAATTGTTTCTTAGAATTTTATCAGTTGTTAAGAAAAATGAGAATTTTTGAAAAGGTGTTAAAAGAAGAACAAAACAAACCAAATATCCAGTGATCAGTTGCATGTATATTAAAAAAAAATCCATTAGAAACACTTCTTTTAAAAGCCTAACTGGTTCATATTTTAAATTTTTTAAGACTTGATGTAATGGAATTACCCAAACATGTCACTTGAACTCATTCTATTAACTCAGATGGTATATATATTATATTATTTATAAAACATATATTTACTTGTGAAGTTTTTACTTCATATTTAGTTCTACTATATTTTCCTTAACTTTACTCTAAAATCTGCATATATTTCTATTGGAAATAATTTAACCTCAAGATACAATAAAATATTCTCTGGAGGACATTTAAGATTTTAAAAAATAATACCCAAAATTAGCCACAAGTAATGATATAAATAGTCTGAAATGCAAGGTGTATGAACAGATAATAAAATCAAATATACTACGCTGGAAAACACCACCCTTCACTTGTCCATTTCTCTCTAGAAGAATTACGTGCAATGTCAGTTGCCCAAACCCTGTTTTCTAACTCATGTGAAAGCTGCTTGCTTTGGATTAGAAAGAATGTGACTATGACTAAATTGGGGAGAAGAATGAAAACAATATGTAACATTTTAAAATGATGATTTTCTACCTATAATATTTGTTAAACTATGGAGCACCAATAAATATTATTCACTTATAACAAGAATAAGAAAATTCTCTTTGTTATGATACAGAAATCTCTAAAGATTATATTCTTTCGTGAAAATAGAAGGCACAGAAGAGTGTAAATAATAGCCATCTTTCTGTGTAAGGAAGAAATAAGATTACATATTTGTTTTTTCTTATATTTACTTTAAAAACATAAGGAACTAATAAAATGGATAAAAAGATGGAGACATTTTTATATTGTTTTAATTTTTGAACCAGATGAATAAAATCTTTTTTTTTTAAAGTCCCACTAGGTAACAGTAAGTTAGTAATACATGATCACTCTAAGAATAAGTAAAACGCTTTAAGAAAGAAGTGAGTAGGAAGAATTGTTCCTGAACCCAGCTGTAAATTAGAGGAGGTGTGCTTTTATTAAAACACACATGGGAGGTGTTGAGCTACAAAAAAAAAAAAAAACTCTCAATGACTTGTAAATCTTCTGTGTTCTATATTCTTATAACTTCTGCGTGGCAATGTCACGCTTCCAGTAACAGCAGCAAGAGCACGGCACTAGGAATTAGGAGACAAGGCTCTTGTCCCACTTCTGTTTTCAACTGGCTGCATGATTTTAGACAAAAATTTCCCAAAGCCCTCTGTCCTTGTCAATTAAAGGCATGCAGAAGTGATCTTTATGGTCTTTCAGTGACTCTGCTAGGCTTTTTTCTTTTTTTTTTTAAGTACTAAAAATTATATCCAGGCCCTTTGCACCAAACTATATCCCGAGCCCTTTTTCAATTTTTTAGAGGTCAGGTCTCAATAACTTCCCCAGCCTGGGCCTGAACTTGTGATCCTCCTGCCTCAGCCTCAGAAAGTGCTAGGATTATAAGGATGTGCCAGTATACCAAGCTAGATTCTACTATTCTTAAATTATCTGCTGTGCATTTAGTCTTTCAAATAAGACTGCCATCACCACAGGGTTTCCATTGCATTGTCTCCTGGGCCTACTATAAAGCTTTGTAGAGCTGGAGTGCAGCTCGATGATAGAGCACTTACTTGGTATGCAAACGCACAGAAGTTTTATAAACAGGGAAAGAAATTTTAATTTTGTATGGATGACCTTGATGGTAATCAACAATAAGGAGAGCCGAGAAATGTGGAAGTTACTAAAAGCAATTATGGAGGCTAGAAGTGCAGCTCCGTGGTACAATCCCTTGCCTAGCATGTGTTAAGTACTGGGTTCAACCTCCAGTGCTGAAAACAAAAGTGATCAACATGCAAGACAGATCATACTTTTCTCTCCACGGTTAGAATGATCGAAATTTTCCAAACAAAAGACTGAATAGGGGCTGGGGATTTAGCTCAGTGGCACAGCACCTGCCTAGCAAGCGCAAGGTCATGAGTTCGGTTCCCGGTACCAGAAAAAAAAACCAAATAAAAAAACAAAACAAAAAAGACTGAATAAAGCAGGCTGGAGATACAGCTACACGGTAGAGCGCCTGCCTGCCATGCACAAGGCCCTGAGTTCAATCTCTAGTACCACTGCCAAAGAAAAAAGAAAAGATAAAAAGGCAAAAACTGAAAACTTTTATTATATGTTACAGGAAAAATACGAAGAAGCTAAAGTTTTCAAAACAAAGATCTGATATATCAGATTTTTAGTGAAGTATCTTGGTCTCTGCACAGATTTATGATCCTGATCACTGCTAGCTATGACCAGTCACTGAGCTGCCAGTAACATGGCTGCTGTAATTCCTTGGTTCCTAACAAAAGATTGTTACTAGAAATCGATAGGAAGAGGTTTTGTACACTTATATGGAAGGGATCATGCACCTCCTTTTGTAGATTAAAAAGCAAATATGTACATGGTAAGAAATCAGCTCACATCTTAAATTTTACTACTATTTTAAAGTTAATTTGTAAATACTCAGTGAATTGCCTTTGATACGATTTTGAACTCCAGTTGCATAGGTTTTTAAACTTTTTTTTTGTACTGGGATTTGAACTCCTGACTTTGTGCTTACCAGGCAGGCACTGTGCCACTGAGCTATATCCTCAGCCCTAAACTTTTTTAAAAAAATTTAAAAGATGAAGTAGTGTTCCTGAAGTTCATCCAGAAACTTCCTCCTTGGGTGTGTAGACTAAAGTATGTATTATGAGGAAGAACCAAGATCTGGCATTGCAAAGCTTCGGATGTCACTGACCGTGTAGACCCTGACAGATACATTTAATAGATCATGCTTTTTTAGCCTAAAAATAAGGGAATTTCCACTAGCTTCCCTGTAATTCTCCATGCTAGAGGATGAAATTATGATTGCTCTCTCAGGGACTAAGCAAGAAACAGCACCCCTGCTGCTTGTCTCGGGGTCCGCGCTCAGAGACTTTGCCCCACCTGTTCCACGGAGCCGGCTGGCTCAGCCACAGGGTGGACCTTCCGATGCTGGATGAGGTTGCAGTGGTAAAGGAAGTTCCTGCCACATTCTTCACACGCGTAAGGCCTCTCTCCGGTGTGAATTCTCTGATGCTTGATGAGGACAGAGCGGCGACTGAAACTCTTACCGCACTGGCTGCACTGGTGAGCTTTCTCCCCAGTGTGGACGCGGAGGTGGTGGAAAAGCCCGGCGTTCTGGCTGAAGGCCTTGCCACAGACACGGCACCGGTAACGCTTCTCCCCAGTGTGCAGCCGCTGGTGCTGGAAGAGGCCCGACCGCTGGCCGAAGGCCCGCCCGCACACGCTGCACGCATAGGGCTTCTCGCCCGTGTGCCTTCTCTGGTGCTCGATGAGGATGGAGTTTTGGGTGAAGCTCTTCCCACAGTCCCCACAGACGTAGGGCCTCTCCGCCGAGGAGCTTACCCGGTGCCTCTCCAGTCTGCCCTCCCGGTCACAGGCGTCTCCACGTTCAGGCACCCGAGTGACATCACTGTTGAGAGTTCCAGGTACTTCTACCATAGATTTTACTTCTTTAGCGATCTCCTCCTCTGGAGCAAACTCCACATTCCAAGGCCCATCCTCACCATCTGAAATAATAAAAGGATGGCAAGAAAGCTATGTTTCCAAAGACAAAAACAGTAATCAGAAAAGTGAGGGGAAAGGAACAATATTTACTTTCCTACTCTAAAACAATCCTACCCAGACCTCGGAGAGAAGACGCTTGTCTGTCTGCCTGCTTCTCTCAGATGCAGACTTCACAGGAGTGGGGACCGGGTCTGCCTTGCTCATCACAGTGTCCACGGCGCCTGGCACCAAGCCTGGCACAGAGCCAACAATGCACGAACGGGCTGAGTGCGGGTCAGTCAGGTAACGCGCCAGGCTCCCTGAGAAGAGGCAGCTCCTCACCGATCTCCTGCACCGGGCGCACCTCCTGCAAGTTACACCGCAGCGGCTCTTCTGAGCTCTGGAACTGGCCACGTGAGGATACCCGGGCTGCTCCTCGAGTTGCCTTCTCCCTCACAAGCTCTTGTTGCGCATAAGCATGACTTGGGACCTGGCGGAAACAAAGGATAGCTGAGAATGAAGGTCAGAGGATACTGAAAGGAAGGTTCCTCAGGGCCACTGGATAGAAAAGAACCAAGAAACGAGCAAATAAAATACAAAGGTAGAGAGAGTCAGAGCATATAGCAGATCAAGTGAGACCTAAAGAAATTCCTCTCTTTCTCTTTCCCTTGTTGCACTGAAACCTCTTACTTGTTCCACAGGTGCAAACCCCTGCTCCCCAGTCTTCCCACCTGCTGCCCAGGCTCGTCCAGCTCCCTCTCCAAGTCCTCCAGCACCGTCACCGCCTCGTCCCCGCTCTGCGGACGCCGTTCGCACACCCAGGCCTGCAGCTCCCCGGGCAGGGCGGCCAGGAACTGCTCCAGCACCAGCAGCTCCAGCATCTGCTCCTTGCTGTGGGTCTCGGGCCGCAGCCACTGGCGGCAGAGCTCGCGGAGCCGGCGCAGCGCCTCCCGGGGCCCGGGGGTCTCCTGGTAGCGGAACTGCCGGAAGCGCCTACGGGAGACCTCCGTGCTTTCCAGGGTCTTTCTTGACCAGCTAGATTCTTGCCCACAGGCATGGTTCTTCTCCTCCTGCACCGTCACTTCCAGGAGTCCTCGTCGTCGTCGTCGTGGTCGTCGTCCCTCCGCAGTCTGCAGGGCCAAGGCTGTGGACATTTTAGGTTTAACCATTCACAAAAACAATCTATTCTTGATAATTCCCCCTTGATCTTTTCTTCGGGAAATCCCGAGATCTAAAAAATAATTTGCAGGGAAAAAATACAAAGATGCAGAAAACCTGGTGATAACTGGTTGCTCTGTCTCATGAAGAACACAGTAAACACAGAACACTGACTATGTAGGTGACATGGGAAGGAAAACAGACACAGGACAAAAAACTCCCCCAGGAGGTTGAAGGAAAGCACCACTCTGATCCTTCAGAATGAAACAGCTCAGATTATCTCCAGTATACTAGGTTTCCATTTAAAAAGCAAGGGGTAAGACTAAGAGCTAGTTTTTCGCTGGATGAAGGGAAACAGACCCCATGTACGGCCAGGTGGTGACAGACGACACTAACAATTTAAAAGAAAAGGGAAACAAGACGGAGGATGGAGGTTAAAGTTAAGCAGATAAAAAGCAGAACGAGAACTGAAAAAGCATACACTCGGGGGAGGAAGGGCAAAGTCCCTCCACTTAAGTGAGGTGTGGAGAAAGGGATGTGTGGTTGCAGTCTGGCACGCCTGGGAACGAGGCATGATCCTTCCAATTCCCTCTGCAGTCTCAGGCTTCATTTCTTAAGCCTCTGCCTCCCTGATTTGTGAAAGAGGAACCCTAAAATCAACACTGCTTATCTTTCTAGATTGATATAAAGATAATGTGAGATCACAAACAAAGAGGACGAAGAAGCTGGCAGCTAAACAAACTCTAAAGCATTGTAAACTACCGTTATTCTTCTTATAAATATTGCTGAAAGAGTAAACAAATATCCCGGTGACCTAGAGCACTAAGGCAAATGAACCACAGGTTGCTGACCGCAGCGATCTTGGCCTAGAGATGTCAAAATATGGCAAATATCAGTTCTAATACTTTAAAATGGTGCAACTTGAGCTTTTTCTTCCTCTTTAATTTTCTGGAAACTATTCCTCCTTGAATCTCTTTGAGGATGGAAAGTGGACAATTTCTTTCAAAAGAAAATTACTACTAATAAAGAGACAAATATCTATGACCACTGGAGGCTTATGAAGAGTCTTATTCATGATGGTAACGAACAAAGGAATTTTTCTAAAAGAAAAATCATTGTGTGAACTAGTGGTTTCAATAAATTTTTAAAATTTAGACATTCACCATATTTTTTGAACATATATCATATGTACAGTGATGGAAATGCTAGAGAGAAAATAAAGGTAAAGGCGCAAGGAGTAACGGGGAAGAGACATCACCATTTTGTAAGTGGCAGTCAGGGAAGGCTTTGCTGGTAACAGCTGAGACGTGAGGAGCAAGTCACATGGCTACTGGGAAACACAGTTCCATGCAAAAAGGAAAAGGAAATGTTTGGAGGTAAAGGCACACCTAGATTCTTCAAGGAACACCCACTTCGATTACGTGCCTTGAACAGACAGGGTGAAAAAGGGAAGTGATAGCAGACAGAACCAAGAGCTTGACAATATCCTCTGGTATGCTCTCCATCCACTGCAGCCTAGCCTATTTCTCCTTCCAGCTCCTACATCCGGTACTGTTTGAGGCCCCTGTACTCTCAGTACACAACCTATCTTGTACTATTACTTTCATTTTTTATATCCAAAGAATACAAATGAATATAGAATTCCTTCACCTAGTTCTACTCCCCAGAAATATAAAGACTGCAATGTATCTTTTCAGACCTTTCCTATGCAGTTGCAATCACTCACACACAAATACAGTGCTCATTTGAACCCATAATTTTCCTATTTACGTGAGAAAAGTAGGAGGTAGTATGTATGGGTAGCAGAGAACACGGGCAAATCCAGTTGTGGTTCTGACTAACACAGTGATCTTGGGTACATTACTTCATTTTTTGAGCCCCCAACTCATGAATGAAAAGAGAATGATAACCACATTTCAAAACTGCTGCGAATACCAAATGAAATGTAGGAACGCATGTAAAGTCGTCTTGCACAAAGTGTGGCACACAGCAAACATGCAAACTAACCTCATGAGAAGACGTGTGATTCGGGCATCATGGTGGCTTAATCAACAGTTGCTACTTTCCCGTATCACCACGACCATAATCTCTTCCTATTGCCCAAAGAACAAGATGAGGGGGCAAGTGGGAAAAGTGTATGCAAATAGAATGACTGTTTTATTTGGGTTTTGGACACTCTGGGACACTTCCAGGTCTGCGGATACGCACGCTAATCTTAAAGCCTAACTTCTAAACCTACCGATCTCAGAAGAGGGAGCACCAAACTCAAACGAAAGAAGCAAGTTTCCGAGTCGGGGCTGAAAAGCTCATCCAGAAACTGAGCGCAGCCGGCATAACAAAGGTTTTAAGAAAGCGGACTCAGAGGCCAACTGCTGGAAAGAATCCTGGAAACGCAGCCCCTCGCCAGCTGATGACCCTGGGCAGCCTCGCGGCCCCTTTTCTTCTTGGCTGGGCAAGGGCTGGGGTGTCTGCACAATCGCGCTGTTCTCATAAAGTCGTGAGAAGTAAACAGAATTTAAAAGTGCTTAGAACAGAGCGCCGCGGGCGCACCGGGCCACTTAAATATTGGTCTGAGAACAGCGCCAGGCGGGGGCAGGAGTCTCAACGCTACGCGAGTCAGACGGACCGGCTGCAGCCCGCCGCGGAGAACCAGACCCCGGAAACCACGGTCCTCGGCGCCGAGCCCACTCCAGCCCCATGCCGCGGCCGGGCGTGATCGCAGGGCCCTGCCCGCCCGCCGCCCGCCGCGCCGCCCCGGAGCCCCAGCTACCTGGGCGTCCTTGACAACTGCAGAGCCGGGGGAACGCGCCCCAACGACCGGAAGTGCGTCATCGGGGCGGCCCTGGGCTAGCGCGGTTCTGGCTGCGTCCCTTCTAGGAAGTGCGGAGGTGTCCGCACATCGGTGGTCTCCGAGCGCAGTCAGGAGCTAGCAAGACTCATGCTCTGGCAGGGAGCGACCGCCAGTGTGTGAGGCTTTACACATATTTACTCGCCGAACAGCCCTGTGAGTTATCTACGCCCAACCGATGAGGAAAACGAAGTACACTTCTTCTGCGTTTATTAGTTGCCATTTCCTATAGTTTCTTTTCCCAGCCCTCTCTCGTAACAGTGAACTTGTGGATTTTTTTATTATATTTTTTTTTATTTTAAACAGAGTAGTAAATGAGAAACAAAGAAATAGAACGGTAGCAGCATACCAGTATCACAAACATAAACAAATCAAAGCAAGAACATTCAGACTGATGCAGAGTCTCAAGACAAAATCATACAGAATCAACAGTGGTTGTTACATTACATATCGCTATCCTCAACTACGTTGCTCAGATTACCAGATATAAACACGAAAGATTGCTCAAACCATTAAAGAGAAAAGAAAATAATTCTTCAATAAAACATTAGAGATAATACAGAGTATCACTAGACAAGATAGTAAGAGTTCACCATTGTAATTCCATTGCATATTGTTACCTTCAAATCAGTTGCTCATACCACCAGACACGAGCATGCACAATCGATCAGAACGTAAAAAACTGTAATCATTAACTTCGTTTCAATGCACCATCATACATCAGCAATACAGTTATCACAGCTATTCATATATATATTTATATTTTGCATTCCTTCTTTCTTTTTTCTTCTTTCCCTCATCCCAGTCGTTCCTTTCTTTGAGCAATTTCTTTCCCTTTCCTATCATCTATTGTATGTTCCAAGTTTTACCTAGTCTTCCAGGATCCTACACCTAGGAGACAATGTGATGTTTACCCATCTGGGTCCGATTTATTTCACTTATGAGTATGGTCTCTAGTTACATCCATTTACCTACAAAAGTCTTGCTATGGTTTGTGTCTGTGTGTCCCCTCAAAGCCTCATGCGGTCATGGAGCAGGCTTTTAGAGTTTGATTGATTATGGGCGTGAGAGCTACACCCACCCTGGGGTGGATAATTTGCATATGTAAGGGAGAGGAAGAGGCTGCTGGCCACCATTCCTCCCTTTTGTGGTTGTTGCTTTTGCTGTGTTCTGCCACCATGAGCTGTAGCCCTCTGCCATGTGCCACTCTGCCTTGTAACCTGCCAAGTATGGACTGAAACCTCCACAAACTGTAAGCGAAATAAACCTTTCCTTCCTTAATTTTGGGTGTCAAGTATTTTGTCCCAGCAACAGAGAAAAGTAACCAAGACAAGCCTCAAGTTTATCTTTTTAAATAGGTGAGTAATACTCCATTGTATAAAAGTACCACATCTTTTTTATCCATTCCTCAGTGGATGGGCATCTGGGTTGGTTCCAAAATTTGGCTATAACAAATTGTGCTGCTATAAACATGGGTGCACATATATCACTGTGGTATAATGTCTTTAATTCTTCTGGGAAAATACCTAGAAGGGGAATAGCTGGGTTAAATGGGACTTCCAATCCTGGTTTTGTGAGGAATCTCCAAATTGATTTCCACAGTGGTTTCACCAATCTACAATCCCACCAGCGGTGGAGTAGGGTTCCTTTCTCCCCACAACCTCTCCAGCATTTGTTATTTGTTGATTTCTTGAAGATAGCCGTTCTTTCTGGGGTGAGATGGAATCTCAGTGTTGTTTTAATTTGCATTTCTCGAATGAACAATGACATTGAACATTTTTTCATGTATTTATTCGCCATTACTATCTCTTCATTAGAGAAGTGTGTGCTCATCTCAGATGCCCGTTTTTGGATTGGGTCTTTGAATTTGAGAGGGCTGATTTTTTTAAATTCTTTATATGTCCTAGATAGAAGGCCTTTGTCTGAGGGGCAGTTGGCTAAAATTTTTTCCCAATTCATGGGTTTTCTTTTTACTTTATTGGTGATTTCTTTAGATGTGCAAAAACAGATCCCAGTTGTTGATTCTTTGAAGTATTTCCCATGCAGTTTG